ATTGGGTCAAATTGTTGCCACCAAGAAAGCATGTCAATCCACGAGAAAAAATAAAATCTTTAGAAAAGGACTGTTTTCATTTAAAAAAAAAGCGACTTCCCGAATTAATTGAGGAACTAAAGCCTAACCTTGTATCACGAATCCGGCTCGATAAGGTTTCCAAGCAACGATGTGGAAATCTAGATAGTACACTTCATGAAATTTACGAAACTGAATGGAAAATCCAACTTCTTAAGAGCGGTAATGTCCCGGAGAAACCTTCGAAGCAGTCACGGGGCAATAATGATGTTATTCAAGGTGACATTAACATGGAAAATGAACATAGAAATGATGAAGAGGAAAGCTCGGATTACGACTCTGATTTCATTGATGATTCCGAAGTCAAATATACTGAAGAAGAATTGGCAGAATTTCGCAGCGTTGGCATAGAATTCCAAATTGCTTCACTTGAACCTTTTCACGAAAAGCCAAATCCCGTTTCACTCGAACCTTCTAGCGGAAAGGATCATCCTGCTTCACCAGAACAAGAAGAAGATTTTCCCGAGAAAGATATCATTGTAATTAATAGTGATTCGGATACAGAAATGGATAGTGAAGATAATAAGAAGGAACGAAAATTCGGTCATCGTGAAAATAACCTGAAAGGTCATGAATTCAATTATGTAGGCAGAAGTTACAGTCATAATGAAAATAACTTTAAAAATTATGAATTCAACTATTTGAGCAAAAATTATATCGGGGATTCAGATGACGATGATCTGGGCGTGACATCGGAAGGGAAGAAAATAAAAGAAACAGCAGACGTCATTGAGCTGCGTAAAGCCCGCACGTTGCTTGAAGAGAATTACAGTAGGCGCTGTGAGATACAAAAAAGAAGTGCAAGGAATGAAAAGGGAATTATAATAAACCTTGGTCATCAAGAAGAAGAGGCTGATATTTATATTCATGAGGAATTGGCACCTAAATTAAAAAAACATCAGGTGGAAGGTGTGCGATTTCTCTGGAAAAATTTAATTATGTTTAATAAGGGATGTGTTCTTGCACATTCCATGGGACTCGGAAAAACTTTTCAAGTGATCACATTTTTGTATATGCTTGCTTTTGTAAAAACCAAGAAATCAGACATTAATAGGATACCTAAACATCTCTATGATTTTCGAATTTTAATTTTGTGTCCAAAAATTCTTATGGATAATTGGGAACAAGAATTTAGGAAATG